TTAAACGACGGGGCCAACGATGAAAGATTAGAAGAAGAGAGTTTTTTCCGATAAACGGAATGAACGAATCGAAGCGAGACTTTTCAACGTTTCAAGAGGAGGCAACGTTGGGTGAACACGTACGGGCGAGTATTTCCGTGGAACGATTTCTCGCTCGCGTATAGGGATGTGCAACAGGTGCAAAACACATAGGCTCGGCCATAGACCAATCTGCAGTTCCGTCCTACTTCTGATTCGTCGATTAAGTGGCAGATTTCGAAACTTGGACGGCGAAGTTCCATGTTAACTATTTAGCCGCGCATCTCGATGCTCCTATTGTGATATCGTCTCTACGTTCTCTTTAGATGCAATGGGCAAAATTTAACGGTTGAAGTTACGAATATAGTTGTATATAGATAATTTATTACTCAAAACATATTAATAATAATTGCAAATAATTATAATGGGTCTGAGATTATACGAGAAATCGGACTATAATACGAATAAATGTTATTCAAGCATTTTAATAAGTAATTAATTTAAGTAACTGTATTCATTTTTAACCAGTTACTTTGTTAATATTCAACTTTATTTTTAGAAATATACATTTCACCAAATACGATCAAAAATTTTCGTCGATCGAAAGACGAATCACTTTGACCTATATCTGAATCACCGATTTAAATATCATATAACGTTCGTTTAAGCTATTCTCAGTTCTTGGAAATGGAATTTTTGGAGATGGAACCTTGAATAATGTTTCTGCACGTTTATCTCCTCTTCTTGTTTCAATCGAATTCCTAGAGATTATCTTTTATTCATTTTATTCGATCTTGATTCGACTGAAAAAAAAAAAAAAAAGAAACTAGCTTTCCCTTAAGCTCGCAAAAAAAGAATTACGGACTTGGGGGAAGGGAGTAGAGGTGTATTCGCCGTGGGCTCGATGAAAAACGAGCTCGTACGTAATATCGCGTCTTCTTGGCTCATTTCACATGCGGAGAATTTGCCGTCGCGAAATTCTTCTCGAACGAACCGTGGAGGGTAATGAGGCAACGAAGGCGAAGGGGGAAGGGCGATGAAAAATAGCGGTGCGGTTATCGATCATCGTTTTCAAAAAATAATAGTAATACCGCCGACTCGCCCGAAAAATTCTTGTTATCCTTATCACCGCCGTGCGAGAAGAAGTATCGATGCATGTCACCGCCACTTATTTCCGATCCGGCGCACACTCTCGCGGATGGTGTTCGCGAGACACGTCTATCCGTTACGGTCCTGTGTGCATATAGCAGATGTACACACGCGCACACACACGCACGCACAGTGTTTATCGATCTAGGTCCCGGTGGTAACACGCGATTCATGGTGAGCTCAACGACCCGTGCGGGATCGAAGTTCCAACGTGGAGGGAATAGCGCGCAGATAACCATTCTCTGAATCGTGTGCCTCCTTGTTCCAGCTTTTAAATCCTCCTTTCTTTTCTTTCTGTTTTTCTTTCTTTTTTTTTTCTTTTTCTTTGCAAATCGAAAGAATAGTTTAAAAGTAGTTGTTACGGCGGAAATTATCTTTAAGTAAATCGTGAATCTCCATATTTCTATTTCTGCAGATAATTTATCTTTTGAATCATGTATTTCCTTGTTATTCTTTTTGTTTCTCTTTTTGCTTTTTTCTTTTACTTTCAAATCGAAAGAGAAGTAGTTTATGAGTAGTTAATCGAATGGAAATTATTTTTGAGTAATCGTGAATCCTCCTATTTCTATGCAGATAATTCTTTGAATCATATCTCTCCTTGTTATCCAGCTTTTAAATTTTTTTTTTAGCTTCTTTCTTTTTTTTTTTCTTTGTAAATCGAAAGAATAATTTAAAAGTAGTTGTTACGGCGGAAATTATCTTTAAGTAAATCGTGAATCTCCATATTTCTATTTCTGCAGATAATTTATCTTTTGAATCATGTATTTCCTTGTTATTCTTTTTGTTTCTCTTTTTCCTTTTTTCTTTTACTTTCAAATCGAAAGAGAAGTAGTTTATAAGTAGTTAATCGAATGGAAATTATTTTTGAGTAATCGTGAATCCTCCTATTTCTATGCAGATAATTCTTTGAATCATGTCTCTCCTTGCTATCCAGCTTTTAAATTTTTTTTTAGCTTCTTTCTTTTTTTTTTCTTTGTAAATCGAAAGAATAATTTAAAAGTAGTTGCTAAAATTATCTTTGAGTAAATCGTGAATCTCCATAATTCTATGCAGATAATTATCTATTGAATCATGTGTTTCCTTGTTATATTTCCTTTCCATTTCTCTTTTTCCTTTTTCCTTTTATTTTCAAATCGAAAGAATAATTGTAAAATAGTTAGAGCGGAAACTATCTTATTAATCTAAGTTTATGTTCGAGTAATCGGGGATCTCCATTCCCCTACGAGCTGCACATTCTCGTTACATATCCGATCTACGTTGTTCCGAAAGAGTTCGTCTGGAAAGGAGTTGAACGGTTTCGAATGTATTTAAAAAGTTTCCGCTCCGCTCGAACCAAACGGTGCAAGAACTGTTGCTCGAGACTCCCTTTGTTCCGAGTATTAAGAAACTACCTGAAACTTCTCCGAGCTATTTAAGAAGCCTGTCTTTTCTCCGAGAAAAATACACAAACGTGTCGAACTGTTAAAGGTTTGGAAAGTGTAGCGTAGTCTCTCTCTCTCTCTCTCTCTCTCTCTTTCTCTCTCCCCTTTCACTGAAAAACGGATATCTTCCAATCTCGCCGCTGCCATGAAATTTCCGCGATTTTCTCTCAGCTGTTTCCCGTCACGATCCTTTAATTTCGATAGAAATACAAACTCCGAATTTCCTTCGTTCGTATTTTTTTCATTAAGTCATTTTCGTTCTTCTTTTTCTTTTTTCTCCAATCCGTGAGATTATTCGCGGATAATAATAAAAACCGGCCGATGATCAGCGATCTTGAAAAACGCAAACGAAGCGAGTTAACGGTAATGTATTTGACAGTAATTGGGAACAATTCTTTAATCCAATTTACGAACAAGTAAAATTTCAATTTATAAAGTTTATAACGAAGATTTTTATTTCTCGGGATAAGAGAAATACGAACGATCCTCTCGTAATTGGAAACGTGCATGTAATTCTTTTACACCTACATCTACTAGAATCGTATTTTTCTTTTTTTCTTTTTTTTTTTTTT